TATCATCCTTTATTTCTTTCCTCATTTATTTGAGTTGATGATGCTTTATCTCCTCCTTGGGCTTTACCCCAATAGAGTTGAATCTTTTGTTCACCAGTGATTTATTTTCCTGGTCGGATTTTCTTTTGATCATTTATTTCATTTGCTAATTCTCTAGTGGTGTCCTGCATCACCTTTAGATTTATTTTATTGCATGCACAATCATAAGCATTGCATGGCATCTTAGGGCAAAAAACAGGTTTTTTTTTATATTTAAGTATCTTCAATCGCGTCGACATGAAGATTTTAACCTTCATATCTCCGGATAGAAGACACTCAAATAAGGGCAGCTATTGTACCCCAATTTTTGCCCCTAAGATTCCTCTATCATCTCATATCAACTCAATCATATCAAGTTTACACTTGGGTTTGGTTCTTCTCTCTATCTCTAGGTTTTCTCATGAGGGATCACCAAGAACTTTGATTTGTATATTGTGATCATATTTGTCTTGTGTTGATTAACTTTAACTAACAAATACAATGAATGTTTACTCTAAATGATGTTACTATAGGTGAGGGCACAACACATTTCATCAGGTTGATTCATAGGTTCATGAGTTTATTTACATTCCTTCTTTAACAAAGCTTCATTGAGATTCAAGCGTCATCATTGAGAATTCTCTAAAGTAACATCATGACAAGGTTTACTATGACTCATCATGCCTCAATTTGTCAAAAGAAGTTAAAAGATGAAAATATTGATTGAAGAAGCTTGACCTAATTGGACAAGTTTTTTGATTCCTTGATCACAAGTGCATAACTCTCTCAATTCTTAATATTTAGAAGTGGTTATTATTGCCATGGTTTCCTATTGTCATCCACAACAACTTCTATTCACATGGAAAAAATGATTGTGCAAGAAAGATTGTCAAAATTGAAAAGGGATTCCAAGTTATTTTGGTGCTTTAGGAGCCAGGGTTTTGAACTTCTAAGGGATATATCTTGTTCATCTTTTGATATTTTTGAGTGATTCCAAAGATACGCTTCTCTTTAAATGGTTGTCAACCAATCACTTCAAAGGTTTCAAGAAAATTTTGTGTGGAAGATTTATAATGATGAAGAAATATGACAAGTCCTCTAGATAGGCCATCAAATTCCCTTATGTGACTTCAAAATATCATAACTTGGTCAATTTATATCTCCTTGAGCCCATTATTTTTCCATATTGATCTTAAGAATGTGAAATTCAACTCTTCTCTTAGGTGCAATACTTGAAAATGGTTTGAAGATACATTTTGAGATCAAAAGATTATAAGTCATCTCATGGATTTTCACCAATTTCACAAGGCCATAACTTTTTCAATATTTGGTATTTTTGAGTGATTCAAGTTTCACAATGCTCTTTGGGAAGTCCAATTCAATCTAGCATCAATTATCAAAGAAAGATTTTGGGGGAAGGACTTATTTGTAATCAAAACATTATAGGTCACTTTTGAAGAAGAAATTTGAAATTTTTCTAAGTATAAAAGTCAGCATCTTTTTCTCAACTTTGACTCATCATAACTTCTAGCTCAAGCATCCAAATTATTTCACTCTTTGCACATTGTAAATATTGTGACCTTATATTTCAAATACTTCAATAATTATGCCATAAGACCTCTTGAGTTATGAAGACCATGGGTTCAAAGTTGGTACCTTGAAATTGAAGTTTTCTCTAAAGTCAAAATTTGAAATCCATAATGTGGCTTATTAACATCAAATTAGCGCACGTTTTTTATCTAAATGTGTTTAACCAACTTGCCAAAAATGGATTAGAGCCTTAAAACACAAAGTTTGAGTGAGTTTTGATGCTAAGCAAGTCACATGTGTCTTATGTCCATAGCTTCTCACGATTTCTCTCCAAACTCCACTAATTTTTTCAATTCTCATTCTCAATCACTTCCCTATAAATAGATGACCACATTGCACTCTTACACAAGCTTTAAGAGCCAAATACATCCTGCCAAAGTTCATTCGCAACTCAGAAATTTGAAATTCCATTTCACAGTTTCAAGCTCTCTTTTCACAATTTCGTTATATATATTCATCATCCTCCATAAACATGGAAACTCTCCAACACTTAAACCAAGCAAATCGAGCCATATTTTGAGTTACAGAAGTTCATTTTCAGAGCTGTTTTCGGGAGCCTCGTTCAGGTGGTTTTATGAACCAAATCATTCCAAATAAAAGCCTATTCTACTCTACCCATCCTTCTGATCCTTGTGCTTCTTACAATTTTTAAAACATTGAGAATTGAGTGAGAAATCCTAACCTAAAGTGCTTGTTATTATTTTTGGTTTTCTGCACTTTCCTCTTCGCCCAGTTTATATAAATTTTTCGCGAGGGTGAGGTTAGGATCGTCTTGAAGAGATGAACCCAATGATATTAGTTTGAGCTTCTAACGTTTCCGTTTGAAGAATCTCAGAAATTCTCACGCGCAGGATGTCTGGAGATTGAAGACGACCTACGTGTCACTCTTCAACCAATGAACATTGGACATTTGTTTTATTTTCATTGCCTGTTTGTTTTTTGATTCAGCGTATTTTGGTTGAAGGTCCATGATATGCACAGTGCGCCAGGTTATTTGGATCTTTTTACTAACGTGTTTTGACTTTTCATTCAATGGACCATATTTTTTCTTCTTATTTTATTAAAATCTGATTTAAAAATTGATTTGGTGTGATTTCCAATAGTGACCATATCATGTAAAGCGTGTCAAATCCCTTGGATCTGCTTACTAACACGTTTTGAGAATGATCCAGTGGTCCATATTTTTTTGGCTTTATTTTTATTTTCTGATTTTTATATTTATTTGTTTTAAACTTCAAAAATCGATAAAAAAATTATTTCTGGTCCAAGAATTATGAAAAAATTCACAAATTTTTTTTTAGAATATTATGTTTCTGATTTTTATTTTTTCACAATTTTATTTTTAGATTTGATATTTTTTATGATTTTTCACTTTCTTTGGATTGTTGTAATTGTTTAAAATTATTTTCTGATTGTTAAAAATTATGAAAAAACTATGGAAAGGTCCTTTGATCTTTTGGAAATTTTTGATGACTTTGTTTTATTTTTATTTCTGACTTTACTATTTTTTACCATTTTTTAGTTTGTTTTATTTATTTCTTTTATTTCTAAAAATAGTTTGACTTTAAAAAATTTTGAAAAATTTTTCAACTATTATTGAATCATGTTTGACCTCTAACTTTATTTTTTAGGATTTTTATTTGGTATTTCAATATACTTTGTGTATTTTACTATTTATTTTCTTTTTATTAACCATTTAAATATTATTTTATTATTTTTTATTTTGTTCTGACTTGGATTTCATTTGGTGACAAATTCTTCAATATCATTGGATCTTGGGTGTTGATAGGTTGAAAAACCAAATCCACCAAAATGGATGAATGATGTTGATGATATTTGAAACCTTAATTTCATACAATGTATCCTCTTCCTCCCCATCTTATCCATTTCTTACTTGTACTACATGTTGTTAGAGAATTATCTATATATCATTTCTCCAAACATATGGTACATAGATTATTATTGATCGGCCTCAAAATAGGTGCGACTTTTATATAAGTCACTTACGATTGCTTAACATAGCGCAAAATTTTATCCTGATTCGAGAAATGATCATTTGTGGCCCAAACCTATGTTTGCAAGCCCAAGTATGTTTAATTTGAAACCTTTGATCCAATAATCTTGAGGTTCATTGTTAGAAGGCTTTGGTCTTATCAATCCTCTAATGAATCTTCATAAACATTGGTTTAAGTAAATTATTTAAACATCGTTGACCATTTGTTGATGCCTCGAGAACTTGAAATGAATGATATACTTGACAAAAAAGAAATGAAACTTGTTATTGAGAAGCTTTGATTTTATCAATCTTCTAATGAGTTTTCAAATGCAAGTTTCAAGATGGTCATTCAACTAACCTCTAATTTCTAACTCATTAACAATTGAATTTTATTTTTATGCTTTTACTTTACGCCTTTACTTTTACGCACCATTTATTTTACCATTTTCATTTCATACTATTTTCATCTTTGCTCACTTGAGAGTTTATCTTTATGTCATTTTTATTTTGCTCACTTAAGCTTTCATTTTCTTTTTAAAGATACTTAATAACCAACTTGAACAATAAAAAAGGCTTTAAGGTTACTTGGACTATTTGGTTACTATCATTGGCATGTTGGAGTTATGGAATTTTTGGACATAGGATTAGAGACCTTGACTACCCTTGGGAACTTATGACTTCTATTGTTATTTTGTATGGAGTTCTTGGGGTTTACCCCGAGACATTGGGTTATTTGTTTTCTTTGTGTGAAGGTTATTCTGATTATATTCTTTGTCTACGATTGAGAATTTCTCTGTATACAGCTGTTACTCTATCCAATTTTTGTGAAGACTTAATGCATTTGAAGTGTGGTATTATTAAGAGGTTTGTTATCTTATCTTGTTTGGTTTCAAATTCAAAGGATGAGAATTCTACATTGACTCATTGTGTCAAGTATTGGCTTCTCGTTGGTTAGACAGTTCTTTTCCCTAGCTTTTACCTTATGCTTTAGGATATTTCCTTCATCTCCTCTCATCTTCTTTAATTTAAAAAATCTCCTCCCTCCTTTTCAAAACTATTCTCACAAATTACACAACAATTTTCACACTCCATCTCAGTTTCACATTTTTTCTAAATACCTTTTATAGTAACAACACCAAAATCTCATACAAACTCATTATATCTAAATTCATTATCCAAAACCATTTTTTAAACACCACCTTGTACCCTTTGATACCTACATCATAAAAGTACCACCATTTCAACAAACCTTCGGAAACATACACATATAATCTTCACAACATCATCATCATTGTTTAAAAACCTATTGTTATTACATAAACCAAGATTTTCCAGAATTATGAAACACCATAATTAAGTTAACAACATCACTTTCTTTATCAAGCTAACATCACCCTTAATCTAAATTAATAACAACAGGATTGACTCGTTTGTTTTTGTTGTTAACATAAGTTCTTGCTTGAGGGAAGAATAGAAGAAATTGGAAAAAAGCACAGAAGCAAAAAGAGGATTTGGATCCATCCTCATAGACAACGCCGACCGCGATATCGCTTCCAACAGCGTCCTCACCGGAATCTCCAACTGCCTCCGTTTTAGACCCTCGCATCACTGATGTTGACCATGCAGTTGCAACATCACCATTAGCCGACGACCATCTCCTCTGATTCACTGTCAGATCCGCAACCGCTCCGCACAGCTTTTCCGTCCAGATCCATCACAAGCCCAATGTTGCAGAACCGCAAACCATGCTTTCGATCACTCCTCCGACGAAGACCGCAGCCACCATCGTTGGAAGCCGAAGCAAACAGAGGTAGTCACCCATCCCAATTGCACTACCGCTGGCCTTCTCTCGCGTTACAACTGTCGGCAATGTTGTCCAGCCCATTCGTGCACGCCATCTCCCACGTGGCCGCCGTCAGAGCTGTAAATCCGGCGAATTCAGGTTTGATTTTTTCGTTTGGGAATGAGAGCAGGGAGACAGTGGTGTATCTGATGAACTCCTGGATAACATATGTGTTTGTTCCTTTTTTATTTTGAATTTGCTTGATTCCATGTTTTGAGATAGATATTGAGGGTGGGGGTTGTACTGCTTGTTGTTATTTCTACACTTTTTAGTTATAACAAGATTAGGAGTGCATGGGTATTGGGCTTTAGGCCCAATTATGTTTCTACTCTTTTACTAATCAAACACCTCACTTATACTAATGTACCCCCTGCGTTTTTAATTAAAGTTTATTTTTTATTTTTTATTTCATTTATTTTATCATAATTAATATTTTTAATATTTTTAATATTTTACAATTACTTCTTTTTTAATTCAAATTCCTTTTTAAATATTAACTCTTTTTTAATATGTTAATTGCGTTAAAAATATTTTTTCTCAGACATTAAAAACTATTTTTCTCATATTGAAATATATTCACAAATTATTAACCGATAAAAGATCTCAAATCTAGAGCTTACATGTTTTTTTTGTGATGTTCGTGAAGGAACGTGATTCTCGTGGAAATCGTAAAAATCAGAAGTTGATTCTTATAAACAACGTCATTGTTTTGTTTGAAAATCAGAACATATAACTTCATGAAGGAACCAAAAATGAAGAGAGTTGAATATTGTTGATCTTGAATGGTGACTTTGATCTATTTTATGATGGCGCGGGATGGACCTGCGTGGTTAGCACTCTAACACCCAAGTTAACTCAAGATTCAAGATGAGTATAGTGAAATTGGATATCAGAGATAGAGTACCTTGCTCTTCGCATGTCAACTATTTTTATACTTTGAGTCAACTATAATGGATTTGAGATAGATTGAGCTTGGTTATTTGGGCCTTTGGCCGAGGCTTTGCCGGGAACTGAAGGAGCCGAGGGAAACCTTAAGTATTATTGATTGGCCTCAATGTCGTGATTCAGGGTGAGATAGAACTGAATCGCTTGAGATCAATTTTTGAAGAAGTAATGAGGAACAAGTGCATTTATGCGGTCCCGTTGACGAAACATTTCGCTATCCATTTTTGACATGTGCAGTGACGTGACCAACTATGGTATGGATCAATTTAGAGAGTACTTGAGTGCACTCGAATTGGCTTATATCCATGAATAAAAATCTAGTCCTTGATCTTGTGATATTTGTTCTTAGTTGGTCTTGATCTTTCAACTGTTGTAACTGTTGTTGCTTATAAATATAGTGAGTTGAATATTTGAATGTTCTTTCAACCTTTTAGCTTTCAAGCTTACAGTTACTTTTCAAAGAAACATCTTCCTTCCTTTTTCCTGAGAATATCATCAGATGTGATCCAGAGCTTCGTTTAAATATTTCTCGTTTCTCATTCCTCCTACTTCATCAATCTCCTCTTACCAGGTATACCCTTCTAACTCAAGTTTTTCCTTCACCATTTCCTAGTTTTCAGTTAAGATGAGCGATAATAATACCAATTTAGTGAGTGATTCTGAAGTGGAAACTTCATTTGGGTCGTCCCATGATTCTCTTCATCCTTCCCTTAATAGCGATCAATGGTAAGACCGGGCTGACGATGTAAGACATTGTTTCAATTCCTAAACAATTGAGAAATAAGGAGTTAATCCATAGTCAATCTCCTCGAGCCAGGAGTTGGAGTTTTTTCAGTTAAAAAAACGTAATTTTAACCGGGGGCAGGGTAGATTTCAATTAATTTAATGGAGCATTTTAATCTCAGGAGAATCAAGTCGATATAAGAAGGTTCAAGCACATCCTCTTCCTCATGCATATCATCAAAGAGTTAGGAAGCAAAGAAGACAAAGTCCACGATGTCTTCTTCCTCAGTACTTCATTCAAGGTCGAGAAAACAATGAAAATGAAGCTTACAACAATCAGCATGACAGACACAAATGTTCAAAATTAAAAAGCAAAAAGAAATTAAAAAAAAAGTCTGCTAAGTTAAGTAAAAAATCAAAAAAGAAAGCTTGACTTGGGAAAAAGTTAGGGCATCCCGATGGACCATAAAATCAAAAGAATCGGCCCATGCAAAAATAAGGGATTAAAAAAAAATCGGAGAAAAATCTTGTGACTACCACTTCAAGAATCATCAAGGCTTCTCATCAATGCTCGAACCTTATCAAATGCTTATCATCATCATCGCGACTACGGAAATTCTCTTACATATTAAATACATCCATTGGATTAATCAAACTTAGGATTGGAGAATATCAAGGAGAATGGGGTGGGTTAAAATAAATCTTGAGCCTTATATCCTTTGTTTCTTAAACCGTGAACCAAGGCCACGCTACAACCCTCAAAATTCCTAATTGAAGCAAGGTCAACTATGATAGCATACTCGGAAAAATTTATGTTAAACTGAATCATATGATTTTTAATATTATTGCTAACCACTTCGCTTCTTCGAATCTTCATCTCTAAATCATCCATTTCTTCTCCGTGAAAACTTTGATTTCAAAACTTACATGTGCATCACTTAGAACTAATTTTCAAAATGTACACTTTCATATACGAATCAATACTTTGGATTAAGCAGATCTCAAAAATTGATTTAATCAAAAGTATGAAGGAGGATGTCCTTCTTTGCTCTCATGAATTTTCTTAATAAAAGAGAACATATCAATATAACCTTCTTTATTACAATAGTTTCACTTTAAGGTTTTGAAATGACATGTGAATTTAGTATTACAAATGTTACTAAAGTTGTAATTATTATTGGGTTTATAGTCGAGACCAACTCTATTATAGAGAGCTCTTTGATTTCCCAATAGAAGATTCAAGTTTTCTCTTCCATTGGTAAACTTGAAAAGTGTCTTTTGAAGATCACAAATTTCATTTTCAAAGTTACACTTTTCAGATTCATCCTTTTTGTTAAAAGTTAAAAAGTTTTGAACTGGATTATTTTGTTGTTCTTTAAGAATTTCTATTTCTTTCTCAAGGTTTTTATTTTTAAATATAAGAGAGGAAATAATATCTTGGATATAGAGACCATTTGTTTCAGATTTCTTGTCTATTTTGTTATCTTCTTACAAACGCAAAAAAATTTATGATAAGAAAAATAAGAGGTTATCTCATCATCTTGATAATTTTCCATGAGACAAATGTTGGCTTCTTCTTTATCATCTTAGGAACCCATATCGTTATCTTCCCATTTGATGTAAGCTTTCTTTCCCTCTTTTTATGTTTCTTACATTTCTTTTGATTTGCCTTTTTAGATAAAGGCAAATTTTACCATATGTTCCCTTTCTATACACAGAGGAAGCATGTCGTGATGAATGGAGATTTTTCCTCGTCTTTTTCTTGTTCATATTTTTGTTGCTTCTCATGGCTTAGGAATATCTTGAAGTTCTGTACTATAAGAAACATATCATCATCAGAGTCAGAGTCTTTGGCTTTCAGTGATATACTTTGCTTTTCTTTTCTTCTTCCTAATCTATGGGAATGTTGACAAGCAATTTTCGACTAGGAAAGTAAGCCCTCAAGCTGTAAGGTATATTTGGTTAGAAAGGCATGTGTCCATAAAGAATAATAGGATGCATTGACCGATTTAAAGAAGTATTAATCAGGAAGGCTCATCGGCAGAGACACCAGTTTCGGAGGCAGGCTCAACAGATATAAATGTCGACATGCAATGATAAGTGGCAGCAAGAGCAGTTATCAACTCACAAGCCAGTAAGAACGTGGGAATGTTTCAAAGCAGTTTATGGCAGTTCTCCATGAATCTCAACGTGGGACTAGTAATCATCGACTGTTACACGCTTAGAATTTCTATTTAAACAAACGTTTGTATTTTTGTTAGAGGCCACATTTCTTCACATTTAGAGCATTACACTCAAAGTACCCACATCATAGAGAGAAACGAGTTCAGGCTTGACAAAGTATGAACGCTTCCATATTTCAATTCAAAGCAATTTCCAATTTTCACTTTAAATTACAAGTCTTGTCATTTATTTTTCTTTACTTTGCAATTGTCCTTTACTTTATCCTTTTTATACCTACTAATCCTATATCAACTAGTTTCAACCCAAAACACTCAAAACACTAAGTCTAGGATTATTGTAGTCGATCCTGCAAGTAACCTTTAATAAGAGGCTAAAGATTATTCACGAGAAACAAATTGGCACACCCGGTGGGACACGTTATGTTTGAGCCTTTCTCGTTTTATGCATGAAATTGAGAAGTGGTAGAAAAATGGTTGATCTTAAAACTTCTTAAAGGAATCAAACTCTGAGAGGAAATACCAGTGCGGCGGTGATTATGGGTTCAAGTTTTGTACTTGTGTCTCTGACTTCCCGAAAATAGTTACCACAACTCAGCCAGTAACTGCAATACCGATAGTGGTCACAACTTTTGGGAAGTATGTCCCTAGTTTTGCAAGAGAGACACACAGTGTGTGGTCCCAACCTATGGGCAGTATGTGCCTAGTTTTGAAAGGGATACATATAATGTTGAACACGAATTCAGAATGCCAACGGCGATGATGGTAGGCCTATATAGTAGTAGTTCGACATTTGGTGAAAACTCAATGTCGACATTTTCCTCATATCATTCCTCGGGGCCGTTAGGAAATCAATTTTGTCATTCGACTGGATTGGGTCTTTCCCACCAAATCATGACTACTTTTACACCAAGTATCATTGTTATCATGAGGCAGAAAATAGATGAAAGTAATCATGAGATGGTCAATATGCTTACTCAACACATGTGTTTCATATTAGGACCATTGATAGAGAATTCAGTGCGGAGTTATCAGACTTTGGCAACACAAGTGACTCACATCAGTGATTGCCTTGGTGCTCTAAGAGAGTCAGTTCAACAAGCTACACCGCCGCCATGTGAGGAACCAGTGCAGTATGAGAAGATGGTCGATGAAACAATCGGAGAAGAACCATTGAGTCCCCGTTATGTTGAT